AAAAATTTTTTTCCGGAATTTAGTTTGGCAACCCCCCCCCCCCCGTCGCCAAAAAAATTTCGGTCAGTGTACCATTTTAGGGGTTAAAAATGTTTTCCCGACAAACCAATTTTTTCTGGAGAGACCAAATTTTTCCGAAACCTAACAAAATTTTTTGAAACATCACAAAATTAACCACAAAATTTACATAATTTGGGGGGGCACTGGGGGACACTGCCGCACCGAGTGGGGGGGGGGGGGCGCAATGCCCCCCAGGCCCCCCCTCAGCTACAGGCCTGATTATACATCACAAAGCATGGGCAGAAGACACAAAAGGTGGCAAAGGACGGTTTTAGTTAGGCATGTGCAGGTGGCAAGGACGTGGTGTGGGCCTTGGGAAGGAAGAATGATGAAAGTCTCTAGTTTCCTTTCTCCTTCCCCAAGCATCTGTGACATCTGTGTGCTTATAACACCAGACCTGCGTGTTTTCTCATATGGACTGCGAGCAGTCCCTCCTTAAAAGGACAGGAGGGACTGCAGAGTGCAGACAGCACATCAAGAAACAAAATGTGTGCTGTCCACACAATGCAAAATTCTGATTGGTTGTTATGGTTGATTGGCAGATCTTTTTTTGAGAAAGTTAATTCACTTAATAAATGTGTTGTTTTTCAAATTTAAAAGTCAACCGTCAAATTATGTCATATTAATTCAATCTCGTGGCAGTTTTATTCATATTGCCTGAGAGCGTTTAGTATCATGTTATTTCGAGCGAATACAATTTAATGTAATACTATGTATATTTGCTTGTAAAACGTAAACGTCATCGTTTCACTGCATGTAAACTTGAATTTTACTTTTATAACATGCCTTAAAATATTGGTCAGTCACAGACATAATTGCCCAACCCATTTGTGAAATTGTCTGACGTAGAGAGGAAAGCAAAGTTTATTGTTTGTCCGGTCCAAGTGTATTGGTGTCCGATCGAACTGTACCTTTGTCGGATGTAAATCGCGGGGTAGCGAGCAAAGTAGTGAAATGCAAAACGGGCAAAATATTGCAATATTGATCGGCTGATTGCACTAGCAAATTGCAATCGATGCTTGGCAACGACAAATTGTCAACAGTCACGTAAAAATTTCAATTTGTCTGCGTCGGTTGGTTACAATTTGCTATAGCAATCAGCCGATCAATATTGCAATATTGTGTGACAATATTGCAATATTGCTGGCAACGGAACACCGGATCTGACTGTGAGTTGTTTACTACAGTTATTGGCAAGCAAGTTAATATTGGCTTGGAAATAAGTACGAATGACACAAATTATTTAACATCTTCACAACATTTACTGTTAATAATTAATACATTGTGCTGATATTAATTTGTGTCATTCAGACTTATTTCGGAGCCAAACTGAACTGAAGGTCATGAGACATCATCACACATATGTCCGACCCAAACTCGAAGTCATCAGACATTTTGTCAGATGGCCATGTAAAAGATATTTTAAGGCTTGTTTTATAACAATACAATATGTGCTATAAATAGTTACAAAATAATTATATTGGAACTATAAAGGGGCAGTGCAAAAAGCAGGCATATTTCATTTCTTGACGTGTTGTCTGTAGTACGTCCTTCTTTCATTTTAAGATCGAGGGACTGCTCACAGTCTATTTCTCATATTGTGTGTTGATTGATGAGAGAAATTTGCACTGTGCCCCCAGACCCCTGCTGCAGCTTGGTCTGCAGCACTATGCACCTTGTCCCTCCCCTCCTAAATTTTCAGCACCCCCCCCCCCCGAGCGAAATCTGAAAATCCGTCCATGACATTGATCAACCAAAGCACTGTGTGATCAGATCTTATCTTTATACTGTCTAATAGCTGACAGAAACAATATATTAAAATACACACTTTGATCAAATTTAAATTTAGTCTATATACTGAATACTGTATAAAAGATAATAAAACTACTTCGATCAATCAGATCATGTATAAGTATATATATATAATTTTCTTTTTAGTAACGACCAGAAGGCTTTTTTTAAAAAAAATTTAATAAATTGTAACAACGTTTCGGAGTTTACTCCATCATCAGGTTACATTTATACGCACTCATATATATATATATACATACTTTGCAATGCTATAGAAAACATCAAACTCTCGCAGAATATTGTACGGTCCACTGTTAAGCACATTAACCGCATCTGCAAGAGATCGTGCTAAATATAAACCTCCATTCACTATAAACATTGGCCAAAATACGAGCCATATTTCGGCATGTAAACACAAGAAAATGTCACACTAAATTTAGCTATGCTTTCTCACCGTTTATCTTTCCTGGCAAGCCACGAACAGAATAAACCTCTTGGACAACATAAGAGCCTTCTGCCGGACACAGGAGATCGTCTTTTGTTAAAGGAATCGTGAATTCGGAGTCCATTTTTTATAAAAATATTTTAAAATCTACCGCCATAAATTTCTGCTGATAAAATTCCGCTCTTTTCCGGATGTAGAACCCCTGTAGGATGAACCAATCATATCACTCGGTTGTTACCTACGAGCAGGCGCAAGCGGGCGGGTGGAAAAAGATCAGTGGTGAGCTATATTTACAACTGGATAAAAAGTTATTTGTACGTTTGCATGGCGTTAAAACATATAATAGTTTGCTTGTGGAAACACCACGTAAATTAATAAATTTATCAGTAATAAATTTACGTGGTGTTTCCACAAACAAAACTATTATATGGATGAAAAGTCTTGTATGGACATTGCCCAAAGACAAATTGATGAGAAATTAGCAAAACTTTGTCTTGCTTTGCCTGGTAGAGAAAACAGATTGCGTAATTATAAATAAAACTAAATGCATTCTCCCCTTGACGAGTAAAATCGACTGGCGTAGACAAAGTAAAATAACAAAGTAGGACGCAGGGAGGGGAGGGACAGCAGTATTATGGAAAATGAAAAACTTAAAAGGACACTGCCTTTGGTTACCATGGAACCAAGTAAAAATATAGTGGGATGGTTTAAAACATATCCTCATTCAAATACCACCAAATACAACCATATTATTTACAAATAAACACTTTCACAGCATCAATCACATACATCCATGTCAGACTAACTATTTAGCCAAAATATATATTAATTAATGACTATCATCTTTTCACTATAGGCGTTTGCACATGACGTCACAGCCGCCATGATGGTGTTCCAATTCAAAAGAATTTTAATTAGACTCTTTTGTCTGGAACACCAACATGGCCGCCATGGCTTTTGAGTTGGTCCCAGGGGAATGAGTGCAAACGCTCTTTTTATTTCAGGTAGCGTCTTAATGTTAATCTTCTATTGAATTGATAAGTTCCATGTAACTCGCATCATTATTTTCCACAATTTCATCGTTCTGTGTGCTATATCGTACTCCGTAAGATAAATAGATTGCCATACCTAAAAATATGAAAAGAGTTTGTAAGCTGCTGTGGTTTGTGTGTGAACTACCTGAAAAAAGATTCAAAACACTATCGGGCGGTGATGAGAATCAAGGCATATATTTTCCATGTTATGGTAAGAAGTGAGACACTGTAAAATAACCAGGAAAATTTAACCAGAATATTTTCAGAGACAGAGTGGGGATGAGAATCAAGGAATTTATTTTATGTGGCCTTAGCGGCGGTTACTGACTTCCTAATGAAGTGGTTAGTTTAGTTAGTTTAGTTTGATAACTTTATCACCAAAACAACGACAGAGCGTAGCCCCAACGGGTTGATTCCAGTTATAGACTAAATTTTGATCAAGGCAAGAAGAACGCAATCCAACACCACAGCTAGAAAGAGCGCCTTAGAATGAGTAAAACTGCAAAGATTGGTTGCTAAATGAAGAAAATATACCCTGTGAAGCACGCAAATTTTGTATATATTTGTATTACGCGCGGTAAAAATATCCACTTTCCCGGCTCAAAAATGGTTATTTTTCCCGCGCGTAATGGTCCAATAGTTAGTTGTAATGGACACAAAAAATTACAATCGTTTAAAATTCAACTAAAACTTATTTTTAGAAGATGAAAAAATCGTAAGAAAACATATTCTTGTTTTAAGAAAACAAATATAATTCTTATGTTAAGAATTTGATTTCTTGTTTTAAGAAAGTATTTCTTAAAACAAGAAAATCATATTTTCTTAATAAAATGATTGATATGAAGATGAAAAAATTGTAGGAAAATATATTCGTGGTTTAAGAAAACAAATATCATCCAAGATATGTTAAAATTTTTTTATTCTTATTTCAAGAAAAAATATCTTGCCAATGAAATATTTCTTATTTTAAGAATCTTTTTCTTATCAAGAAAATCCGTTTCTCGTTTTAAGAAATAATTTCTTAAATTAAGAATTTTTTTCTTAATAAGAAAATGATTTTTTGCTGTGATATATTACTGTGAAAATCTTCTAACTGTCCTGGTAGCAATAAGTGTTGAATAAACCCTTGAGAGATTCGCAAACCGCAATACAATCTTGATTTGTGTTTGTGCTTACAGACCTGTAGACTAACCAGTATATAAACAAATAACGCTAGTGTGCAATGAAAATAAATCGAGCTGAATGACTTACCTATTACCATCCAAACTGCAAATCGTATCCAAGTTAAAGTTTGCAATTCTAGGAGCAAGAATATATTAATAAATACCGCAGCCAATGGCAGAAACGGCAGGAATGGAACTTTAAAAGTCAACGTATTCTTGGACTCTGGCTGCCTTGCTATCACATCAACTGCCAGTAACATCCACATAAGACATAGTACAAAGATCACAATTACTAGAGGGTCCTTGGAGGTGAGTCGATCCATTCCCCAAACTAAACAACACTGTAGGCCGATTGTATCTAAAATGAATACGACCAGGGCGATTTTAACCACCAAGAAACTATCTTCGGTCGGCCCATCCAGACGAGGACCTAAGATACATTTGATAACCCTACTTAGGACAGGAGGCGAGCTTGAGTTCTTATTTGAAGAGAAAGGATCGGTTGTTGTTGCTGCTGCTGCTGTTGTTTTCTCGCTCTCTATGGCATCGTCAGACGGTTTGGAGTGGTTCTCGGATTCCTCGAAAATTTCTACGTCTTCATTCAACCCTAGTTCATCTGTTCCATCACTGATTTGGGCGCCAGTATCCTCAATTACCGAACCTGGTTTATACCTTAACAATATAACACTTATCGATACTATGGTATACGATAACAAAGTGCCAATCGAGAGCATCTCTGCTAATGCCGATAAATCGAGGAACATTGCGAGCAAGGCCGTAAATAGACCACTCACTGCACAAGCGATAACCGGTGTCCCTGTTCGTTCGTTTATCTTCGCAAAGAAACTGAAAATGAGTCGGTCACTGGCCATAGCATATAAGATTCGAGGTATAGGGAATATACCGTCCAAGGCGCTCGAACTAAGGCCACATATTGCACCAACGGCCACGATATATTTTGCTGTCGGAAATCCTCTGTAATCAAATGCGGTTGCAAGAGCCGAGTGATCTGGTAGCTTGTTGTATGGCATCATTAGAGTTAGTGCCACGGAGATGGATTCGTAAGCCACGAATACAATGACTGAAAATAATAAGATAATACATAATTAGATGAGCTGATAATACATAATAATACAGATCATAGATGAATAGATGAATAGACAATAGATGAATAGACTATAGATGATAGATACCTGTAAACAGACTATAGAAGATAGACGAATGTAGTATAAATGATAGACGAATAGACTATAGATTAGACTATAGATGATAGATGAATAGACTATAGATGATAGATGAATAGTCTATATAGATGATAGATGAATAGACTATGATGATAGATGAATAGTCTATAGATGATAGATTAATAGACTATAGATGATAGATGAATAGTCTATAGATGATAGATTAATAGACTATAAATGATAGATTAATAGACTATAAATGATAGATGAATAGACTATATAGATGGTAGATTAATAGACTATATATAGATGAACAGACTATAAATGATAGATGAATAGACTATAAATGATAGAGGAAAAGATTATAGATGATAGATAAATAGTCCATGCATAGATGATATATGGAAGTATTATAAATGATAGATGAATTAATAAACTATAGATGATAGATGAATACACTATAGATGATAGATTAATAGACTATATAGATGATAGATGAATAGACTACAGATGATAGATGAATCGACAATAGATTATAGATAAATCGACTATGGATGATAGATGATCATGAATAGGCTATAGATGATAGATGAACAGGCTGTAGATAATAAATAAACAATATACAATTTAAATGAAAATTTTCGTTCAACTTACAAAGCGCGGCGACAGTGGCTCTAGGGATGGCTGTTCGTGGATTCTTGGCTTCCTCTCCCGAAGTGGCAATTACATCGAAACCAACGAACGCAAAAAAGCACGTTGCAGCCCCGGACATTATACCATGAAAACCGTACGGTGCAAAATTATCCCAATTTTTCGCCTCGGCAAAAACTAAGCCAGCAACGGTGGCAAAAAGTATCACAGACAAATTCAGTATTGTAAACACCCAATTCAACGCGGAAGACTCAGCCGCTCCGCAAATTATGACAATTGTTAAGAACATTATGAATGTAAATGCCAAAAAATCAGGATATCCACTCAACCAATGTAGTTTTAAGGAGCCAAGGTGTTCAATAAAGAAGTTTTTAACGCAGTCATGACATAGAGAGTTAAAAAAGTCGCTCCATGCCTTGCCAACAGCAGCGGCACCCATTATATACTCAAGAAGCATATTCCATCCTATGACGAAAGCGCATAGTTCCCCGATAGAGACGTAACTGTAGATATAGGCTGAACCAGCTTTGGGGACTCTGGCACCGAACTCTGCATAACAAAGTCCTACAAATGTTGAATAAATAATTGTTTGTTAACATTTCTTTTGCGCAAAATTATGTGTGGATGTGATCAAATGCGCTCTACATCAAGTATTACGCTTACCTAAAATAATTACTCACTTATACACGCGTAAAACGCTCAGGTTGATGCAATATTGATGAAAACAGGATTGAACAATGTTTTGCTGCCCACATTGTTCACAGTTGTCAACAATATTGAACAATAATAGGGCCATTTATACGTGACAAAATAAGTCGCGACTTACATAAGACGCGACTTAAATAAGTGGAGTTATCGCATAAATGGTTCTTTATCGCTTCCTTTACGGCTTTGGTCTTATTTATTTGCTATAGCTATAATGTTGTTTTGGTTGTTTTTGTTTTAATATGCAAGGCTAATAATTTTACGTTGTTTCAAGTTTCTGGCATGTGTAGTTAAATTTTTTGTCTAAAATTTCTTATTTAAGACGCGACTTAAATAAGAACAGCTAAAAGTCCTGTTCTTATGTAAGACGCGTCTTATCCAAGACGCGTCTTACATAAGAATTTTGTACCTTTTATACCACAAACTCGCGTCTTACTTAAGTCGCGTCTTATGTAAGTCGCGTCTTATTTTGTTCCGTATAAATGGCCCTATTGTTACACCCGATTCAGGCTCAACAATACTGTTCAATATTGTTGACAAGTGTGAACAATTACGTGGGCAGCAAAACATTGTTCAATCCTGTTGAACAGCGGGCTCGGCGTTTTTTGCCGTGTAGCCTATTTTATCTTTACAATAATTGTGATATTACTCTCTTAACTGTGTTTATCCTAACCCACCCTGGTCAACTTTCGGTGTTTCCTGCGGGAGGAAACCGGAGAATCCTGAGAAAACCCATGACTTTCGCCGACAGAGCGTTGACCGACTCCTTTCACATGAGCAATAATACCGTATTCGGTTGTAATATATCATTTGTGATACATTTTTTCCACCACCCCCTGTTTCAATCTTGGCGTCTCGCAACCAGACATCCGAGATTTTTGTCGGCCCAACATTGAACTGGGGGAACGGGGGGGCGCTACGCCTTTCAAATTTTGTGAAATTACAGCACCCGTCCCATAGTTTTTGGCAAAGATTGTATCTAACTGTCTATATAGATCTATCAATTTAAAGCGAAATGAATGTAACTTATTGAGAGAGAAAAAGGGTTAAGCTACAAACCTGCCAATAAAGATGCTACGGCAGCTATTGCAAAAGAAATTACGATAGCTGGACCAGCCTGATTTTTTGCAACTTCACCAGTGACGACATAAACACCCGCACCCAATGTGCAACCAATGCCAAGGGCGGTGAGATCAAATGTTGACAAGCAACGCTTTAACTTTGTTTCATCAACCTCTGCTGTTGTGAAATGTTTTGTTCTAAAAAATGCCTTGAGAAGTCTCTCCATGGTGTTGGGTTTTAATTACCGTCTGCTGATAGAATGCATTCTAGAAAAAGTACAGGTAATTTTCAAGAATCCTATTTATTTATGCACAAATGAATGAATAAATGAATGAATAATTGAACGAATGAATGTTAAACTAACATAAAGCCTACTTATTCTTAGTTTGGGGAGGTGGTAAACAATGTCAAGAATGATGACATTAATCTCTCCAGGTTAGGTGATTTGGCTTTAGAGTTTAGTAAAAACCATTGCCTTTCAATTTCAGGATCGGAAAAGACGCGAAGTTCTAGGTAATCTACTGTAGCTTTGAAGATATATGTGCACAGACGTCCATCACGTTGGTCGTTCAGTCTATCACTACGAATTACAGAGTTCGTTCGTCCATCGCTTACAATGATGACCACTAACCCGGTGTGGTTTCCACCTATTGTGCGTGCGCATGTGGCCAATCAGACCAATTTTTGCCCTAAACGATCACCCACAGATCTGACACGTATCGCATAAATTACATGATGCAGTTATTGTTGCTTGAATTTCGACATGTTTGTTAACCATAGATCGTGCATTATACTTAGGAACAGTTTAGGAAAGGTGGATTTTTTCGACGGCGACCTTTGAATAGGGCTGAGAAAACGATGTATAGGACGATTAAGAAACGAAATTGGTCGACGAGAATCGCGACGTTTTGATAAAGGTATGTTAATTAGGTTGCAACTCGGCTTTGAATAAGCATCTGTTCAAGTTGAATATAATTGTCTGTAAAGCCGGTTTTCCACTACTAGTGAATTATTTCGCGCGAAGCGACTATTTGCATGAGCTTTCGATTGGAACATTTGGAACTAATTAGTTTTAATCAAAAGAACAAAGTCGATTCGCGCGAAAACCGGCTTTACATTAGATTGACAACTCGCTAGGTTTCCTCCAAACCTAAAAAGATGATGATACTCTTCTACTAAAGGTATAAACTATTTATTTTTGCTGATGCATGCTATGTACCCAGTAAGTATATTTCCTTCAACGATAAGTATTGATTAGTGATACATTTTAGTGTAAAAATTCAGAATATTTTTGAGCTAATCGTCAACATTATTATTTCGAGGTCGATACCGCAGGGGTTAAGTATGCCAAGCATACTACATACTTTGTTGTTGATTGGTATTTGTTGTTGTTGGTTTGGTATCCAGCCCTTGTAAACGGTAATGTCAAACGGGGGATCGTGGTCGGGTATAATGGTAACAATATGTACCATGCATGCTTGGCCCAGCAATGAAAGGATTTGGCAAAGTGACACTTCTGAGCGCACTGCCAATGTTTAGCTGAAAACCAAGCAGCAGGTAGCTATTTAATTACGGAACCACTGGCACTGAATATTTTAATAAAATATGAAACAACGGTAACTCCGAAAAGAAACATTTTAACCGTTCTAGCTTTCGACTAAGATTCAGTCATCATCAGGAATGATGATGACCGAATCTTAGTCGAAAGCTAGAATGATTAAAATATTTCGCGGAGTTACCGTTGTTTTATATTTTATTAAAATACTCACTGGTTCCCGTAATTAAATGACTTGACTGCAGCAGAGAGATCTTTGTTAGCATCTTTAAGAATATCAGGAGCGTATAAAGATGATAAGACCAGAAAGATATAAGATATGAAATACAAATTTCGAGAAGCCCAAAAACCCGTTGCTGGCGCGCAACACTTGAATTACTAGAATTATTTTAGAATTACTATAAAGGGTACATTAATATACAGGCAAATAATTATGCACATTTAAAAATATACAGACACATGGCAAAAGTATAATGGAAATATTTGTGAGATAGGGAATTTGCCCCCTCGGCACCTTTACGTAACATGCTCAATTTGTTCCCAGACAATTTTACTCGCCAAGGGGAGAGAATAAGAGAAATGGTGCTCAATAGGTTAATGCATTATTTTTGCCATATAAACAAATCAATTAGATTTGTCATTGGACAAATCAATTAGATTTTTCATTGCCATTGGCACAGTTGTTATTTTTTGGCCTGCATGTAATTTCTGCCAGAAATTGTGGGAACCACTGAGTTAAAGGCACAGTTCAGCCTTTTGAACGATGTTTTTTAAGGCGCATTTCAGCCCTTTTAATTGAAAAAACTAACTAGGAAAATCAATTAAGCATAATTCAAGATCAGCAAACTTAATGTTTTTAACATTTTAAAACATCTTTAATGTTAAAAACATTGAGTTTGCTGATTTTGAATCATGCTTAATTGATTTTCCTAGTTAGTTTTTTCAATTAAAAGAGCTGAAATGCGCCTTAAAAACCATCATTCAAAAGGCTGCACTGTGCCTTTAATGTTAATAACATTTTGAATTATTTGAAAAGTGTTTATTGGATGTTTCGAGTAGATTTTAGACTTTTAGTCATCATTGATCAGGAATGATGAAAATCATGAAATTACTATATATCACAGATCTATATATCAGCTGGTGTTGTAGCAAATCACCAACAGGTCGAGTCACGAGTCACGAGCCGAATCACCCAAAGGTCAAGTCATGAGTCAAGTCAAGTCATTTCATCTGGTCAAGTCGAGTCAATGGCTTCACTCGAGTCGAGTCAATGGCTACACAAATTGTACGGTGAACAAAAATGCCTTTAAAAATTTCCCTACAGAGTACAGGTAGAAACTGACATGCCTATCTGCATTGAGAATTACTTTTTATTTCTTCCAGCCCCTTCAGGACTCTTCCGAACCTAATCAACTACAATAATTTTGATGAATTTATCCTGAACAAGCTGTAGCCGAGTTGACTCGAGTCATTAAGGATGAAATGTTCTCGAGTGAGATATATCATAATTTCCAGACAGCGCGCAGGCAGATATATCGATCTAGTAACTAGAAGGTCGCGGGTTCGAAGTCGATCCAGCCGTGGCAGGCAAGATTTTCTGCCTACATGCTGTCTGGAAATTACAATATATCTCACTCGAGAACATTTCATCCTTATCATATTACCGAGTGAATAATAACACAAATGTTTATATATATATATATTAAGACCTAATAATACTTAACTGTTAATAGTATTTCTCATATTTTTTACTATTCATGTATTGTATTCATGTGCTTCTACTTCTTAACAATACAACCTAGACACAACATGCCTCAATGTTCATTTTCTGCAATGAGGAAACATTATTAAAAGAATCCGTCCCCCCTAATCAACTTGAAAGGTCACACTCAGCATGAAAACATTATTTATGCATGGACAAATTCTCAACAACGATTTGCATTGCAAATTAATATTAATAACATCGCACAAGATTGGAATGGTTTCGGCAACTTGTTGTGTTACAAAGAAAGATCACACTCAGCATGACATTATTTATACATGAGCAACATGTGAATTGATTAAATACGGCAGCATTTGGAGCTGCAACAAGTTCGACACAAGTTCGGCAGAGCTTGTCGCATTATGCGACATTGGAGCGACATTGATTCATACGCCGCTCTACTCATGCTGTTCTTGTGTCGCTCCAGTGTCACATCTAATACAATTAAGTTTGGCACATGAAGAGTACGCCATCTGAAACGGGCCTAATAAGGCCGTATTCCACTAGGCGGAATTTTCCATGCTGAGCAGAATTTGTCTTTTCTAATTAGTGCCACTCGAGAAATCACAGGACAAAGAAAAATTCCGCTCCATGCGGAAAATTCCGTCTAGTGGAAAACGACCTTTAGAGATTGTTTTGACAACCTGTTGCCTTTACGAACTGTCGTTAAAAATTGTGCCATGCAACGTAACAGCATGTACTGTCAGTACATTACCATATATATTGCTTCTAATATATTGAAAACATTTGAACTGAATTCTATAGTACTGTAGATGTGTCGCCAATGTAAATGTTATAAATGAGAGAATATATTGATAATTATGACAAGTTAAGTGATCGAGGGCAAAGGGGTTCTGTTGCTTTCAATATTTTATAATATATTGAAATATTTATTGTTCCAATACAAATAATACCGGACAGCTGGGCTCTTACGAAATAAACAGAGAAAATTCTATGCCATATCAAGGAGCATTGCTATATTTATAATACTGTAATAAACTTACGGCTATAATTTTGTCACAAAGCATTTTTAGAACAAATAAGAAATAGGTAATATACTTATCGATCTTTCTAACTAAAACTCGCGCTAAGACAAAATCGAGATACAAGCATAACATACCTTTATATATAGCGAGAACGAAGAGGTTAAACTTTGAAAAAACAGGAGAAATCAACGTCACGGTTTAAAGGAAAATTTGTTTAGGCGAGCGTCTGTGGCATCGCTTCGCTGATCTCACAATCTCGTTCGCACCCAACCTGCGAACGGGCATACCCTGGGTACGACATTTTTGCATAAATTGACCTTTTGATCTATTGGGAAACCATGTTGAATCGTAGTGCATTGTGGTCCATCCACAGTAAAAATAGGTACGCTTGGGCACCGTAGTTACAAAATACCGGAGCGACATCAAATTTTACAGTTTCAAGGAGAAATTAGCACTCAAAATTATGATAATGTAACAGAATTAGTCAAAAACTTCAAATATGAAAAGTTGTAAGAGGCCGAAAAGTGTCTTAGTTGATGTCGCTCGACTCCCTCCGATGTGAATCCTGTATCTCGTAGCTGGGGCCTTAGTGTACCTGGACTACCTGTATTTGCGCCAAACTTATGGTCTTCAAGTTGCGTTCGCACTTCCACTTGTTCCCAGTTTGGAACAAGCTGTTAATTAACAACTTGTGACAAGCTTGATGGCATTATCAGTCTTGCTATAAGTTGTTCTAACAAGTCCGATGCGGTGACTGCGAGAAAGAGTATTTGGATCAGTCTATCTAAACGCCAGTTTGGTACACGGCTAATTAAAAGAACATAAAAAGGCTGTTTCAACTTTAGACAAGGGAAAAGGGATTGCGCATTTGCGTGGGAAAACTCTAAAGTAATTACCACAAACAATCGCTATGGTCAAAGACTTTGCTTAGAAGCGTGGCATATAAATATGAGTAATCATGCTTTGAATAGGGATGACGATGCCTATTTGCCAGAGGAATGCATGCATCTCATTGGCAGGTGACGTCATCCCTTGGGTGTTTAAGAAGCCTCGATTGTAACTTTAGGTCCTTTAGATCACCCCTGATGAAGACACTAGACTGGAGTGTCGAAACGTTGGGTCTTGATTACAATTCGACTGGGCTTTGTAATCATTTATTTAAACCAGAGTAGCGAGCGAAACATATACATGGTTGCAGTGAACGAACAAACGTTAAAGGCCGATACAGTCGTGATATACCAAGAATAGAGACCTTACGATTTTAGGACGGCAACGCGACGACAACGGCTAACAATACAATAGATCATTAAAAGAATTGAGTAATTACAATATATGAATAATTTAGACATTGTCCTCGCTCTGTTTACAACGCTAAATCACAGATTTTCACGTGTTGATACAACGGCTGCATTCCAAGCCACAACAAGCGCAACTTCAAACTGGGTTTAGCAGAACTCTTCCCAACCATAAAATCCATGTCTTCAACTTCTAAGACTGTATTAAATTCATACGATTGATAATATACGACGAACTATCTTTACTACCATTTATTCGAAGGAGTTTGTTTTGGCGTCGCCGTCCTAAAATCGTAAAGTCTCTATTGTTACAAGGTTGACGATCGACACAAGGTTGTAACAATATTGTTATATCATGACTGTATCGGACTAGCTTGTTGGAACAACATTGCAGCAAGTACGATAATATCAACAAGGCTGTTACAAGTTGTCAACAGCTTGTTCCAAACTTGTTGACAACTTGGGACAAACAGTGCGAACATGACTTTGTTGACGGCTTGTTGGCAGACTTATTGAAAGATGTGAAATTTTTACGCGCGTAGCAAGTCTGCCAACAGGCCCAACAAGCCATGAACAAGTTGTGTTCGCACCGCTTCGGTCCCAAGTTTGGAACAAGCTGTTAACAACTTGTAAACACCTTGTTGATATTATCAGATTTGTTACAAAGTTGTTCCATCAAGTCTGATACAGTCATGATATAACAACACTGTTACATTCTTGTTATACAACCATTCTTGTTATACAACCTTGTAACATTCTTGTTATATCATGACTGTATCAGGCTTGTTAGAACAACCTTGCAACAAATCTGATAGTGCCATCAAGTTTATTACAAGTTGTTAACAGCTTGTTCCAAACTTGTTACAACAACTGGGAAGAAGCAGTGCGAACACAACTTGTCAACAGCTTGTGAACAGATTTGTAACAACTTGTTCCCAGTTGCTACCGCAAGGAAACACGCTAAAAATCATATACCATCACTGTTGTTAGATGAAAAACGGTTTTCATCTAATAACTGAGATCCTAATTACAAATTCAAGTCAAAATACAACAATATGCTATAATAATATATATAAGCCAATGAAATATTTTCGTTTGAGATGTTGTGTAAACAACTCGTTTCTCGTGTTTCATCAGGGGACCAAACACTCGAAAACAATAAAACATTCGCGCTTCGCGCTCGTGTTTCATACAGTTTTCTCGTGTTTGAATCCCCTGATGAAACACTCAAACTCGTTGTTTACATATAACATCAACAAGGTGGTTATGTACTAGTCGGTGGTTATGTACAAGGTGGTTATGATCGATCCGATCTTTATCTGATATACAAACTCTCGCCGGCCTTCGGCTCGAGTTTGTATATCAGATAAAGATCGGATGCGAATGTTTTAACGTGCTTAAAAAACGACCCATCTTACGAGTTCATTGGCGAAGTAATTTTAAAAATAAACATTGTCTAAGCCGAGAAAATCAAAGCTGAAGTTTATGTAAATCAGGACAAATCTTTATCCGATTTACAAACATGATTAAACATTCATTTCTTTTGTATTTTCCTCATGAATTATTACTGAATTGTTAACAGTTTGTTCCAAACTTATTGACAACTTGGGACAAGCAGTGCGAACACAACATGTTGACGGCTTGTTGGCAGACTTGTTACAAGATGTGAGATTTTTTACGCGTGTAGCAAGTCTGCCAACAAGCCGTCAACAAGTTAGTGTCCCAAGTTTTCAGCAAGTTTGGAACAAGCTGTTAAGAACTAGTAACATGCTTGATGGCATTATCAGTCTTGTTACAAGGTTGTTCTATAACAAGTCTGACACAGTCATGATATACCAAGAATGTGATAAATATCATGAGTGTATTGGACTTGTTCGAACAACCTTGCAACAAGTCTGATAATATCAACAAGTTTATTACAACTATTTCTTATAAGGGTCCGGTCATTATTTACGGGGGGGGGGGGGGGAGGGG